AATTAGGTGCGTGCATAACACAGAGTTGATGGGATGAGATGCCACACCCATGATTGTACTACCCATTATAGGACTAGAGAGACTCTACGTTGCTGGCTTGGAAGATGCCAGCTTCCATATTACAAGGGAGCCTGCAAGAGGGCCAGGTGGAAACGGACTGCAGGTAGCCTCTAGGGGCTGTGTGGTCCCACATTGACAGCCAGCAAGGGGAATCTCATATGTGCAACCACAAAGAATTGAATTCTGCCAACAACCGCAGGAGCTTAGAAAAGGATCCACGATCCAGAAAGAAATGCAGCCCAATCATGATTCTAATGGTGGCCTCATGAAACTCCAACCAGAGCACTTAGCTAAGTCATTTCTGAACTCCTGATCCTTGGGACAGTATGTTATGAATGAATGCTTTAGAAATCCATTACTAAATGGATTTAGAAATCCATTTAGTATTTGGCAAATAGTTACCTGCCAATAGAAAATGAATATAAACATCCTTCTATTTTAGATAAAAAAGATAGATAGTAACATAACATTTTATGTCAAAAGGACATTAGCAGGTATTAAAGTGATGCCTCAATGATATAGTTGATTCTAAGGGATCATTTTACCTATTATAATCCAGAGCAAAGAAAAAAAAGGAAGCAGGGAAAGACTCCATAGAAGAAGGAACCAGGTGTCTGAAGCATAGAGGTCTAACTCTTTGCAACTCATCCTCTGCCTTAAAAATGGGAAGAATAGGCTATATATTATTAATGACAGAAAATGCCAAAGCGGCATTGGCATCACTATATTAAAACTTAATGCCCCAGTATATCATTTATAACCACCTAAAATTGAACTGAAGCTATAACTGGTTTTGAAAGAGTGCAGCAAAGCAAGATTATGAAACAGGTATATTGATATTTGTGTGACCTTTTGACCATGTGTTCTCAAATATGGCTTTCTGTTCACTGTCTGTTATAATGTAAAATATTCTTAATAAATTAAGGACTTCAAATTAAAAGAAAGAAAAATTCCTAAGCATCATTCAAGAGTTAACTGAATAAAAATCCTCAAAAATAAGACCTGTTACCTCTCTCCAACCCCTATACACACACATACGCCCACACACAACACACATGCACTTCATATACACACCAAAGACTTCACGAAGTTCCAATGTAGCTAGCCTAGTCATTGGTATTTGCCATGATAGAGCTCATCACTAACAGGTCACTTCTTTTTGTACTAGAAGCACCTTGTATATGTTATATATCTAGTTCAGTGGTTCTCAATCTTGCCTGCACAACATAATTACTTGAAGAGCTTTGTAATTCCTAATGCTGAAGCTTTTTCCTAGAGCAATTACATCAGACTCACCAAGCATAGTAGCCACTATTTTTAATTTGTAAAGCTCCCCAGATGGTTGCAACATGCATTTAAGTTTGAGACTGCTGATCTGTAGATAATAGTTTGCATTTTCTGCATCCTTCCTAATACATAATTATGTAGTCCAAAACCCAAACACTGCCTGGGAGGTATGTAGGCCAACCATGACTGTCCCACTTTGACGGATCATACAGCTGAGGTTGACCATTTGGGACCACACTACAATAACTCCTTTTTATTGATCTTCATGTTTATTATATTTCTTTCTTTAAAAAAGTGCAATCTAGCTATCATTATCCCAGTTTACAGACAAAGACATATGGTCTCCTGAGTTAGAGGGAACTGTCCAAATGAGTAACATGACCTGAGGCTGAGTGACACCAAAGCTTATGATGCCTGCACAAAACCAGTGATTCTCAAAGTGTGGTCTCTGGACCAGTAGCATCAGCATCACCTGGGAACTTGTTAAAAAAAAAAAAAATGCAAATTCTGTGACCCAATCCCAACCCTACTAAGTCATAATCTTCCAAGATGGGGCCCAGGAATCTGTGTCTTGACAAGCCCTTCAGGTGATTCTGAGGCTCATTATAGGTAGACAGTGTACTATATTCTTCTGTCTCTATCAGCTGCTCACCTTTGGACACTCAGCATCTGGCAAGATACCTAAAAATGTGTGGGAGCCTCAGTGAGTAAGATGGGGTAAGGGAGGAGATTTTTCTCTCGCTATCTTCCCTTCTTCTCATTTCCAATTTACATTAACAATCTATGTTGAAAATGTGAGGGGATGTATCAGAGATACCATATGGGAAAAAAAATGGTGGAGTTATGCTGGTCATATTTACTTGCAGGGGTGCCTGGCTATGTTGACCTACTTTCACACAAGTGTGACCATTTTAATATGTTGACGAATGGTTTATCCTTTGAATCAAAGTATGGAGAGTTTTCAAAGTTTCATTAAAAATGAGTATCCCAACTGTTTCCAGGGAAATGAGTTTGTGATCTTAAGGGCTTTGGGGTAATTGGTGTTCAGGGAACCAAGGCAGTTGGTTTCCTTTCTCGGATGGAAACTGCTTCAGTTTACTACCATGCTATAAAACCCAAGTGCCGCTGACCTGCTTAGTGTATTTCTGCTATGCTTAGGGTTCATTGATTAGAACTGTACATTTGACTAGGGGGAAATCAAAATTAAAAGGCCACTCGTGTTTGATTTATCAGAGATGTCTATTAATATTTTCTGAGCAAACTGCAAAGTCCTTTCTTTTAAAGAAGTATATAAAATAGGCTTTTGGCATATTCAGGTCTGATGGAAATTTGTCTCATGGGGCGGCGTGAGATGGGAGAAAGAGAAAGCAATAAAGATAGAGAAGAGAAAAAAAACAGACAAAGAGGAGAATGGGGAAGAGCTGAAAGGAGACAATAATTCACAAGGGGAAGAGACAGAAGAGGTAAACCAAAAAAAAAAAAAAAGGAGAGAAAGAAAGGAGGAGTGAAGAAATAAGAGGTAGAGTCAGAAGGATTAAAAAAGGGGAAAGGAAAGAGTTTGGGAAAAGCGGGGAAGGAGAGAAAAGGAAGAAGAGAAGGACATATGGGCAACAAAAGATAAAATAAAGCAATGAATGCAGACTTTGGAGCCTAGCAATTTATTGTGAAGTGGCACTTGTATTAGACATGCTGCAGAGATGCTGGCTCCAAAGGTTAATAATGGCAGTAATCATGATTCCAATTTATAGCAAATGCAATGAAAGGCAGCCAGACCCCAAACAGAGAAACCCTACGGGATGGCAGTGGAATAATAACATAGCAGCAGTCGAGGAATACAGGGATGCTGGGAGATTGGATTCAGTTCTCCTGTGTTCGACAACTATTTTGTATCTGGTGTACAATCCAATGTTAAAAAGAAAAAAAAGTATACTTATTACTAGATGTCTGAATCAGAGCAAAGAAGTTTAGGTGTTTACATGAACACATTTGAAGTTTTATTCTGTGATTCGCCTCCTCTGAGCACTGACTTTTGGTCCAGATTGGTCTTTTACACCTCCTTTCCTTTCTGTCCTTGCTGCTCATTGTTTCTCTACTGCCAGTGGTCAGTACCGCTGTTTCATTGCAAATGCCTGCTGTCTCTGAAGCAGAGCCGTTATAGAATAGGCATAACTACTCATCCTCTTTCCTAGTTGTCAAAGCCCTTTTCTCTTTATGCAGGTTTATTTATATGTATTGTCTTGATAGATTACCCATCAAGATTCCTTTTAATCAGCGGTTTGTGTGTGTGATGAGCACTCATCTCCATTATAATCTCCTCTGCCCCCATCTATTACCACAAAGTCCTAGCTCTTGCAGATGATTAAGTTTTGGAGGAGAAACAAACTTACTCTGCATAATAGAGGGAGAAAAACTTAGAAAGCTCAGGGCAAGGAGAAGGGGGTGAGGAGCAGAAATGGGAGAAAGACAGACCCCATTCATTCAGACAGATGGTGAAAACTTGTGCAGTGTGCATGTGGAAACCCTATAAAAATATTCTGCAGTGTCAACTACCGGTATGAATTCTCTGAGTAAATTGTTGTTGTGGATCCCAAAGAAGAAGCAGAGATTCTTATCTGGTCTGCATAAGGTTGGACAAAGGCAGCAATTGTGGGGGGGACAGATGTGAAGAGGATGGAATTAGAAGAAATCCTTGGACATCACAGACTTCTACATGCCATGAAACTGGGGATCTTAGGGGATGGGTGTCAAAAGGGATCAAAGCAATTTAATTTGGATTTCCAGGGGTGCCTGTAGCTACGTTGGTTTCCATATGTATAAGAAAAAACTATATGTTGGGGGGGTGTATGCTATTTGATACATAAACATTTGATGCCTTTAAGGATGACCTGTTTTCAAATAGATTCATGACAACAAGTTTTCTCTCCCTGTTCAGACCATAGGCTCTGTAAGGATAGAAGTGTATCTTCTCTGACTTTTGAATAACCTGCAGCATCTAGTTCAACCCTTAGCACATACGAAGTGTTTAGTAAGAGACTGTGTCTCATAGACTGCCTGGATCCACTCACTTTCTGTCACCCCACCCTCTGGGGTTTTTCCGGGCTCTCATTCCCTTTTGGAGATGATTCACCCAGGAGGGAGGGGCATCTGCACACCTGGATTGCAGAGAACCAGGTACAGTGATGACCTACAGATACCTCTGGTTTACAGACATTGGCAGCATGGTTTTTTCAACTATGAAAGTTATAGTAATTATCCTCCAATGCCAGGAATGGAATCCCTTGATAGACCTCAATCTATATTCAAGACTCAAGTCAAGCACCAGCCTGTATTTAAAAACTAAAGAAATAATGGAGGTTTATTGAAATTATGTCATTATAGTTGACAAAGAGAAAATATTTCAACCAAGAACTGAATTGAATAAACCTTTCTCAGAAACTCTCTTTGTTTAATGGGCAATTACAGTGTACCAGCATGGGTGTGCCACAGAGAATCAAAGTCCACAGATACTGATTATATTCCTATCTAGGAAGGATCAGTATGAAATACACATATGATGGGGCTATCGCAGAATGGGATATTTTCCCCCTTTCCTCTCATGTCTCAATATTCCTCTGGGATCTGTGTGAAAGTAAAGTCAAAAAGAAAGTTCTTACGTTCTTAAATCCTCTGTAAAGGATCTGAAGCTCTTTCTTGGTAAATTTGCTCTGGGCTTCCAGAAGCTCAAGGGCCTCAGGCCGATGCCTGACAGTGGCCATCTCCAGTTCATCTTCCACGCTGTCTGTGGAAGAAAACAAGAAAGAGTCTTAGGACCAGCCGCTGCTCACCGAGGCTTACACATAGCAACACAGGAAAACAGAAGAATATGTCTGCTAATGTCTGTGATTGTCCACAGAGGAAGGACCCTCACAATGCCAATAAGGCCTTTACATTTCCCAGTTTAAATGCATTAAGCTAAAACACTTGTACATGATTTTTTTTGCATATTCTGGTCATTAGTGTAGATATTACAACTCTAGCATTCTTTTTAAGATAAAAAAGAGCACAGGAATTTATTTCAGATAATCAGTGCATTATATGATTACTTCAAATAAAAAGTTTAAGTAGCAATATACATTACTCTATAAATCTAACAGTGTAGTAACATATATTTCTTTATTTTTTCCAACGTTTAAGTTCAGAGGTACATGTGCAGGATGTGCAGGTTTCTTACATAGGTAAACGTGTGCCACAGTGGTTTGTTGCACAGATCATCCCATTGCCCAGGTATGAAGCCCAGCATCTATTAGCTATTCTTCCTGATCCTCTCCCTCCCCCAACAGGTCCCCAGTGTGTATTGTTCCCCGGCAGTGTGTCCACGTGTTCTCATCAATCAGCTCCCACTTACAAGTGAGAACAGGCCTTGTTTGGTTTTCTGTTCCTGCATTAGTTTGCTATAGATAATGGCTTCCAACTCCATCTATGTGCCTGCAAATAAAATGATCTCTCTCCTTTTTATGGCTGCATAGTATTCCATGGTGTATATGCACCACATTTTCTTTTTCCAGTCTATCATTTGTGGGCATTTAGGTTGATTCTGTGACTTTCCTATTGTGAATAGTGCTGCAACAACATATGCATGCATGTATCTTTATAATAGAATGAATTATATTCCTTTGGGTATATACCCTGTAATGGGATTGCTGGCTCAAATGGTATTTCTGCTTCTAGGTCTTTGAGGAATCACTGCACCATCTTCCACAATGGTTGAACTAATTCAAACTCCCACCAACAGTGTAAAAGTTTCCCTTTTTCTCTACAACCTCACCAGCATCTCTAGCATTTTTAAGGTACAGTTAGAAAAACATAAAAGATCACCAATAGTCCAACCTGGAATTTGTTTCTATATAACAACCACTAGTTATAAACATGGAATTGTCATTTAATAATAATCAGTTTCGTGCCCTATGTATAATGCAACTACAAGATAGACTCTGCTAATGTTCTCTAAGGATTCCATTGAAATCAGATATTTTGCACAGCTACTTGGGAGGCTGAGGTCGGGGGATTGCTTGAGCCCAGGAGGCTGAGGCTGCAGTGAGCAGTGATGGCACCACTGCAGTCCAGTTTGGGTGACAGGATGAGACCATGTTTCAAACAAACAAACAAACAAAAATAGAACCTTAGACTGTCAGAATTGAAGGACATCTGAAGAAAGATATAAGGAGAGAGAGAAAGAAGAAAATCTCCCTAATTCATTCTATGAAGCCAGCATCACCCTAATAACAAAACCAGCAAATGACATAACCAAAAGAGAACACTACACACTACAGACTGATATCCTTGATGAACATATATGTTAAAATCCTTAACAAAATACTAGCTAGCCAAATCCAACAACATATCAAAAAGATAATTCACCATGATCAAGTGGGTTTCATACCAGGAATGCAGGGATGGTTTAACATACACAAGTCAATAAATGTGATATACCACATAAAGAGAATCAAAAACAAAAATCACATGATCATCTCAGTAGATGCTGAAAAACATTCAACAAAATCTAACATTTCTTTATGATTAAAACTCAGCAAAATTGGCATAGAAGGCACATACCTTAATGTAATAAAAGCCATCTATGACACACCCACAGCCAACATAATATTGAATGGGGAAAAGTTGAAAGCATTCCCTCTGAGAATGGGAACAAGACAAGGATGCCCACTCTCACCACTCCTCTTCAACATAGTATTGGAAGTCCTAGCCAGAGCAATCAGACAAGAGAAAGAAAGGGCATCCAAATTGGTAAAGAGGAAGTCAAACTCTCGTTGTTTGTTGATGACATGATTATTTACCTTGAAAACCCTAAGGACTTCTCCAGAAAGCTCCTAGAACTGATAAAAGAATTCAGCAAAGTTTCTGGATAGAAGATTAATATACAAAAATCAGTAGCTCTTCTAAACACTAACAGTGGCCAAACAGAGAATCAAATCAAGAACTCAACCCCTTTACAATAGCTGCAAAAATATAAAATACTTAGGAATATACCTAACAAAGGAGTCAAAAGACCTCTACAAGGAAAACTACAAAACACTGTTGAAAAAGATCATAAATGACACAAACAAATGGAAACACATCCCATGCTCATGGATGGGTAGAATAAATATTGTGAAAATGACCATACTGCCAAAAGCAATCTACAAATTCAATGTAATCCCCATCAGAATACCACCATTATTCTTCCCAGCATTAGAGAAAACAATTCTAAAATTCATGTGGAACCAAAAAAGAGCCTGCATAGCTTCATAGCCAAAGCAAGACTAAGCAAAAAGAACAAATCTGGAGGCCTCATACTACCTGATTTCAAACTATACTATAAAGCCATAGTCACCAAAATGGCGTGGTACTGGTATAAAAATGGGCACATAGACCAATGGAACAGAATAGAGAATTTGGAAATAAACCCAAATACTTACAGCCAACTGATCTTTGACAAAGCAAACAAAAACATAAAGTGGGGGAAAGGATACCCTTTCAACCAATGGTGCTGGGATAATTGACTAGCCTCATGTAGAAGAATGAAACTGGGTCCTCTTCTCTCATCTTATGCAAAAATCAACTCAAGATGGATTAAGGACTTAAATCTAAGACCAGATGCTGTACAATTTCTAGAACAAAACATTGGAAAAACCCTTCTAGATATTGCCTTAGGCAAGGATCTCATGACCAAAAACCCAAAAGCAAATGCAATAAAAACAAAGATAAATAGCTGTTACCTCATTAAACTATAGAGCTTTTGCATGGCAAAAGGAACAGTCAGCAGAGTAAACATACAACCCACAGAGTGGGAGAAAATCTTCAGTATCTACACATCTGACAAAGGACTAATATCTAGAATGTACAATGAACTCAAATCAGTAAGAAAAAAACCAACAATCCCATCAAGAAGTAAGTTAAGAACATGAATGGACAATTCTCTAAAGAAGATATACAAATGACCAACAAACAAGAAAAAATGCTCAACATCACTAATGATCAGAGAAATGCAAATCAAAACCACAATGCAGTACCCCCTTACTCCTGCAACAATGGCCATAATCAAAAAATCAAAAAAACAGTAGATGTTGGTGTGGATGCAGTGAACAGGGAACACTTCTACATTGCTTGTGGGAATGTCAACTAGTACAGCCATTATGGAAAACAGTGTGGAGATTCCTTAAAGAACTAAAAGTAGAACTACCATTTGATCCATCAATCCCACTACTGGGTATCTACCTAAAGCAAAAGAAGTCACTATTCAAAAAAGATACTTGCACACGCATGTTTACAGTAGCACAATTCACAATTGCAAAATCACGGAACCAACCCAAATGCCCATCAATCAACGAGTGGCTAAAGAAACTGATATATTTATATAATGGAATACTGCTCAGCCATAAAAAGGAATGAATTAAAGGCATTTGGAGTGACCTGGATGAGACTGGAGACTATTATTCTAAGTGGCATAACTCAGGAATGGAAAACCAAACATCATATGTTCTCACTGATTTGCGTGAGCTAAGCTATGAGGACACAAAAGCATAAGAATGATACAATGGACTCTGGGGACCTGCGGGGAAGAATGGGAAAGAGGAGAGGAATAAAAGATACAAATATGGTGCAGTGTATACATGGGTGATGGGTGCACCAAAATCTCACAAATCACCGCTAAAGAACTTACTCATGTAACAAAATACCACCTGTACCCCAATAATTTATGAGGAAAAAAAAGAATTGAAGGACATCTGCTCATTTTACAAGTAAAGTGAAAAAAGAAATCAGGTATTTGGACTTGAGCTACAAAATAAAATGTTCAGATTAGGTGCTGACATGGGTAAAGTAACCAGTAGCCAGCTGGTTTCAGGGGTACATACTGGATGGACGGGGGCCTACGGGATGTTCTATTTAGGTCCATTTTGTAGTCAATAGGGTCAATAGATATAGATAAGCTTTAAAATATTATACGTTGCTTTGTGAATTATGTTTACACTATAATTTCTCAAAGATGTTTTATGCAAAAGGGAATTTCGTGCCCATAGATGTTTGGAAAATGCTGTGAACTTTAATATAATTTTGTCACAAAATATTAAAAAATGTAGGTTTGAGAAGACCTGTAACAAAGAGTCCTGTTTAACTTTGCATAACCCAAATGACCCCAAAGGTATTTGACCACAGAACCTTTTCTGGCCCAAGTAACGTCTGGTAATATCTGCACATTTGCCCTAGGGTCATGTAAGCGCAAGTCTGAAAGATTTGGAAATATATTAGGGTTTAGGTGCTTGTGTCTCAAAGAATATCATCCTTCAGTCCAGCTCCTTTGAAGTAGGGTCAGATGGTGGCCTATAGGAATTCTCTCTGTTGTGTAAACCAATCCACACCTCAGATGAAGAACTTAGCAGGAATAAAAACATCCAGGCTCAGTATGAAGCCATGGCTTCCCTTTTCTATCCCTTCTTCTTGACTACACATTCTAGACTCAGAGAGAAGGATCTAAAGATAACAGTCAGCTCCTCTTGTCCCAGGACCACTAGGACCCCAATCCCTTGTCCCATGGGTCAGTTGGAAATGTAGTCCTCTTTGCCAATGTTGAGTCATTTTTGACACTACCTCTTGCTAACATCTGCTCCTCCTTATTGCTCTGCCTCACTGAGAACATTGAGGGGCCAAAGCTCTCACTTAGCAAAGAAGAGAAGGTCAGTGGTACCCTAATCTTAGCGTATCTTAATTATTGCCCTCAAGGAGTTTACCAAAACAACAACAACA